ACTGTCCTAGATCAAAGCCTAGAAGTTTTATTGTTTCCTAAACAGTGAAGGCATTCAGTCACGTCAGATTCAATCTTTTTGTAGATTGAGGTGCTATTTGGCACCTCAGGCAGAGCGGTCTTGTAAAATTGATATTCTGTACATACTTTTTTCTTCGATAAGTTTCTAAAAGACTGCCCCGTTCTTCTATTTACAACACAAAAAGGTCTAAAAAGGTGGTAATAATAACAAGATTTTGAAATCAAAAACACAAAAAGTCAATGCATACTTAATTTGCGTTATTTTGTTATTATTATTTTTACTATTTTTATTACTCTTAAGTCACCTTATGACTCTTATTTACTTAAACCGCTGTCAAACAGATTTAACACATGTACATATAATGAAGTAATGTCCTATGCTCTTGTTTTATATATAATTTTATGTTTTATGTTTTACATATGTTTTGTATATAATTTTAAGGATTATATATATAATAATGAAGCGTAGTAAAATGAAATATCTTAAATAATTTTTTAATATTTTGAAACTATGTAGTTAAAAGTACAAACGGGGTATTAAAATTCAAAAAATAATAATACAGTCAAACTTCCATAACTCGAACTTCTATAACTCGAATTTTCTATAACTCGAACTAAAACGAGTGCAACAGTGTTTTTGAGAGCAAATTACATACAATTCTGCTTCCATAACTTCTATAACTTCTATAACTCGAATTTCTCTATAACTTAAATAAAAATATTTTCATGGGGGAAATTGCATTCTGTAAGTCGAATTTTTGGTTTATTAGGGGAACTCCCTTTGTCCAAATCAAATGTTTAATTTTTTGTCCTGTATTGCTTCTTTGTGCAAATGTCCGTCGCTGGCAGCGTGGTTATAAAAAGAGTTACTTCTAATGCTTCTTTTAATGATTATATTGACCTTATTATTGAGCATTATGTTATAGCTCTGAATTAGTTTATCCAATTCTAAGCGCAACGGAAAGCGATGATGAGGGTTCGGTGGATGTAATTGTTTATCAGTTTTCCAATAATGAAGTAGAAGATTCATTCAAAATTCTTAATTCTATAATTGATGATTACTATAACAGTATGAATAAAGTAGAATCTCCTTTTACTGAAAATAAGAAAAAATTTTTAGTCCCAAGCCCTCATTTCTAATTACTTTACTTCACTATAACTTATGTGCTGTATTTTATTTTAAATAAATAAATATCTTAAAATATAATTCTAGTTTCTTTTAAAAATTAAAAAATTCTCCAACTCGATGTCTTCATAAGTGGAAACTTTTCTTTGCAAAATGGTACTTCGAGGTATGGAAGTTTGCCTGTATTTCTAAAGGCTCAGTTATTATGAAGTTTAATAGTTTATATTTCGTAGGTTTAAAGGTTCTTAGAGATATTATACTGCAATTAGGATGACTGAGAATAATATTGAAAAAACTTTCTGTTTCATAAAACTTAGAAATATCTAAAGATGATGATTTCACTATTTTTAAAGATATTTTTTTCTATTTACATGTGATGGTATAAAGCCAATAATATTTGTAGCAGGATTATAGTTGAATTTACAGTAATAGTTTAAAAATAATGGACTGGAAAAAGAAACTTAAAGTGTGAGGGTGTAGAGTTTATAGGCAAAAATTAATTAAAATAATAAAATATAAGTGCAATATTATTAACTATATAGTATATAGTACAGTAAACATCACACCGCAAGAAATCGAAATTATTTAAAAAAAAAGTGCCTTATTCTGTAATACAAAACCGCAGTAAACCGCATTAACAATAATAAACGTTAAACGATTCCTTCAGGATAACTGCGAACACTCTGACTACAATTTAAAATTTTAAAAAATCCTTTTTCAAAAGACAACTGCAAATTGCAAGCGGCAAAAACATTCAGAATAAGTCACAGTAAGCGAAGCGCAACACAATTTTTATTTATTTCTCAAAATATGTACCGGTAAACGTTTAAGTACATAACAATATAGTAAATAAGCTAAGCAAATTATACATTTAAATGTAAATGTATATACAATCTAAATATACAACTATTGAATCTCCTTAGTCTTTTCGTTTTGAATCGTTTCGAATTATAGTACACCTTGAATTTATTTTAATAAAATTGCTCAATTTCCATTCGAACTTTTACTGCTCTTAAACTACCTAAACTACTCGTAAGAAATACAAGAGTCAAACTTTAACATTATATATATAAGACATAAAGTTTTAAGCATTAAAAATACACTTACATATATATACATATATATATATACATATATATATATATGTATAAATGTATTGCATAAAAGTTGTGCCAAAGAAGCAAACTCTTCGTGATATGGACGTGCAGGACGCGATTCCAGGAAGCTTCCAAATGCATTTCTGCAAAGAAACAGAAACAGAAACAGCAAAAGAGTAATACTTGCGAGTTAGCTTCGGAATCGACTATATGTGTCCTTATTAATGTTACGGTTTGCTTCAGAACACTTTTGTGTAATGTTTCAACTCCTCCTAATATTGGTCCATCAATTTAAAAATGGACAAAAGTGGATCAAAACTTAAAAAACCGAAAAATTTGTGATTGTTTTTTTGTTTCCTTTTTATATATATTATATATATTACGAAATTGAAGAGAAAAATAAAATTATTACAAACATTATATATACATTAATATATAAAGTATACATAATTATTATTAATACATTTAAATGTGAGATTTGTAATTGAAATTAATGTATAAGATTGTGAAAATTACCTTCATACGAGTACATACATATTATTAAATTAATAAAATTATAGAGTTACATATAAGTGGTTTTATTTAAGTTACGGAAAATAAAGGTTAAGTAGAAGAATATTTTATTATATTATATATATATATATATATATATAAACCATAAACCCAATTGTTAAAGACAAAAAAGATCCAGTGATGAAGTTTAATGCGAGTCTATCAACTGCACGACTTAACTTGCCAAAGATTGAACACATTCGTTGTTGTAATAGACCGTGAAGATCTATATGACAAAAAATAGGTCTGTTCCACGAGCTACTTGTAGTAATACTCAAGTAAAACACAAGCAAAGTACAAATTGAAAGTGGGACACAAATAAAGTGCCAAATTACGCTCTTTACACCGATTTTGATGGAACAGCTTTGTGTAAAGTCTGGTGAGAACACCAGTGCCGCGCAAATAAACAATACAAAAATTTAAATTGAAATCATCTCCAAAGTATAACAAACAAATATGTCGCGAGACGTACAAATATTACCGGGTGGCCGCATAAGGCTCGTGAGTGGTGTTTTGGATAGCCCTGGGTTGGAATATGGTTGGGCAAAAGCAATGTAAAAGAAAAGAGGAATTATTTAGTAATAAAAGTGGACAAATGATTCACATGGCTTAAACATGTTCAACTGAAAATAATTAGCTGTACCAAAATTTTTCATTACCTTCAACCGCTATTTAGAAATAAAAATCTCAATGCTAAGAACCGGAAACTGATATATAACCAAAAAATTCGTCCGTCACTTCTATATGGTTGCGTAGCGTTTAGCAAAGCTTCAAACACTACTATTCACCAGCTAGAAATTGCACAAAGCCAGGCTCTGAGAAGACTTTTCAAAGTTCCATGGTATATTAGGACGAATGACATCCTCAAGGACATCAAGATTGATCCCATCAAAAAATACATAAAGGATAGAGTCTAAAATTATTTGCGAAATCTGACAGACTTACCAATACCGCGTTATCAAATCTCAGAATGGTTACAGGCTCCTCGGGGAGGTATGCAGATCTGAGGTCAATTATTGCTTAGTCTGATGAAGTGACAAACAATAATCTAGTCAAGGCGCAAAGAGGGGTTTTGAAGAAACCTCGAGTTAAAAAAGAGTATAAGTGCATTAGCTCAAAACAGCTTTAACATAATAAGAGTGGATTAAGGATGAGTAGAATTTTAATTGAAGTTAATCTGGATCAAGACGAAGAAATCTAGGCACATTTACAGGCTGCTTGTTTTAGCTTTTGGCTTTCATAACTTACGTATGTATGTAAGAAGTAATACATAAATATATAAATATACCATTTTGTATTATATTACTACTAAACATTAAATTGTCGTATCATTATTATAATAATTATTGTAATCAGCCGTTGCTGGAATCAATAATAAACGTTAACAATATTAATAACTCCAGAAGTGTTCTTATCTTACACAGACGGTATAAAACATTTTTGTTTAAAATAAGAAATGCGATTTATGAGAAATAAAACAAAATACTGTATGACATACAGTTATACACAACTTCGATCAAAAGGGTTTAAAGAGCTTTAAAACTTCATTCAAAAATTGAATATACAAGTTATTTATTGATAATCTGACTTGTCCCTTATCTGCAGACAAGTACTCCCTATTGACTAAAACATATGCCAGCGCTTCATCGAATCCTTTTGAAATCAGATTTTGTATAGACATCAGAGATGTCTTCAAATCGAGGATCTACAATCATCTGCTACCTTGGCCTTACTTTAAGAATCCTAAGCTAAGGGGTGTGCATAAAGCATTCCTTTTTTCTATCCAATTATTTTTTATAATAGTTGGAACATCAATATAAGTGAGTGTAACCAGAAGTTATGATCTAGGGACGTAAACTTAACTACATCATTTCGCTAATAGTTTCAAATATATTTGAAAAAGCTTAGTAATTCTTTTCTCTATGAATCTACAATAGAATAATGGATGGTTTAGAGGTGATTATGTAATAAAGCATTCAATATATTCTCTGAAAATATGTCCTAGAGTATGTATTATGTATTAAGTATTGCAGTTTATGTTTAATTATTTTAAACTTACGAAATAGTAAAAAATAATTTTTACAAAATATAATAAAAAATATATTTATTATATTGTAATTTTAAAAGAAATTTAATTTTTATTTCAGAAATCTTAAAACTAGTATCACATATGGTTTGACTTAGTCTGAGTAGAAACCACTTTTCTCATGAAGTTGTCTCAGTTTTTAAGTGTACTGACTCACCAGAGTGCCTCGATTCAATATGCCTTTGTAAATCACGTCTTCTGGCTAAAGTCTTATGACAGAGATGGCACTTATAACCTTCTACATTTGTACCACTCCCTCCAGTTTGTAAATGTAAACGCACGTGCTTATTTAAATTGCTAGGATCACCAAAAGGGCGCAAACAAAATTTACACTTTAAGGGTTTGAAACCAGTATGTGTGCGTATGTGTATTTTAAGGCCATATTTTCTAGAATAAACCTTGCCACAATAAATGCAGAGATGACCTTGTTTCGAGGCACCCATATTACTGACAATGGCTTCAATTTGTGCTGCAGCGTTCAATGGACCAGGCGGTTGTAGTAAATTAATAGGCGAGAATGCTGTGGTCGAGAGAGAAGGTAAAAATGATAGAGCATTACTTGAAGTGGCCGTTGTGGTGTGTAACGTTGTTGGCAGGTGTTGTGATGTTGACGAATGTAATGTGGTTATCACTACTGGAGCCGAAATTGGTTTGAAGGCAGAGAAACGTGGTAACTGAATTGGCGATCGTTGCTGTCGCTGTGGTAGCGGTGATGTGGGCGGTGAATTTGAGGATGTAGTTGAAGTAGGATGATTGGGCGAATGTTGCGCCGGTAAAGACAGTTTTGTTGGAGTTGTTAGTAACTGTTGTTGTTGTTGTTGATGTTGTTGATTATATGTTGTGGCTTTTATCGCATAGTGGAGACGTATCCAAAGTATGTCTAGCGAATGACGACCACAACCAAGTGCTAAGTGAATTTTTAAAGGATTTGGTGTTTCGAATGTTAATTGACAGATATGACAGGTGTAGCGATTATTGCCTGAAAATAATAAAATTAATTAATTACAATAACTAAGTAAATTTAAAAATTTTTGATTATAATTTTTAAATTAGAATAAATTGGATTGCAAAGAAAATCATTAAAGTACTTTTAACTCACCTTGTATATTTAGAGGTGTGAGAAACGGTAAGGACATGAAAAGTGTTACTTCGTCGCCAAACCAAGCCACTAGTTCCTCATCCCGTGCTATGTCGCGTACAGCACGTATTCGTACTTTACCGCTTTGTAGCTCGAAAAGTACTGAAATTAAAAAATAAGGATATTAATCAAGAGATCTCTTATAGGAGTAACACATTATAAATTTATTAAAGATCCTGATATACTCCTTTTTTTCTTGCTGTTATTTTTAATTCTTTTCATATATAGGGGAATTGAATTGAGTAGATCAGACATTATTTCTCAATTTCAGCTTCTCATTAAGATGGCGGGTCTATTCTATAACAAATTATGGAAGAACGTAAAATTGAAACTATTCCTTATTTTTTATAATTTTTTTTTTTTTATTTCTACTTCTTTAAATGAATAAGAGAATTAATTGAGTATTTATTTTACAGACATCTTCCAAAGCTGGTCTATTTTGTAATATATTGTGGAAGAACGTATAACTGTAACATTCTCTTATTTTTATATCATGTTTTTATAAGGATTTTAAATACTTTTCAACAAATTATATACATAAATAAAATTATAGTATAGAAATATATGAAAAATTCAAATTTATTGCTACCGCATATTGTAAACATTTTCTTGACATAGAAAGATTTCCACATTTGAGAATGTAGTTTCAAGATCATTTATATATTTACCATTATAGCTGTGTATGTCCTCCGATAATCTGATTTTTTTCATTATGACAGGCGTCATGCAAAGCATGTTTTCGGACAGCGTACAATATATACGAGTGTTTGTTTGTTGGTGATATTCCATTTCAGTATTTCCACATGACATTAACGCAAGCGTAGTAATGCTCTCCGAAAAAGTATCCTTGGGAGTAAACTGCGAGGCATATACCCCTGAACGCATCAATCTAATACGTTTCAGTGTGGAGTGTAGGGGTTTTTGATGTTCTCTAACATTTAGCGACGAACTACTGGGTGTTGTGGTTATTGTTGTTTGTAGATTGAAGTCTGGAACTGTTGTGTTCGGTAGTAAATGCTCAATACGAAAGATCATACTGGAGTTACGTTTAGGTGCACTATGTGACGTGTTATTATTATCCAAATGTACGTGATGTGTATTTGCGCTTGGCAGCACTGGTAACATTCTAATAGCGTTCCTCTACGATGTTGCACTTCTGCGTTCTAATTTGATTCTGTTTTCCAATTGGAAACGTACTGCGCTTTTATATGGCCCGAGAGTAGCACGCGCTAAACATTTCCACGTGTTCACGAATCAACAAAATTTAGCTGGCAATACAAAAACAAAAACAAAAACAGAAATAGAAATAAAAAAATATCAAAACCCTTGTCTAAACATTGTCCTCCACTTAGAATTATCCTGCCACAGATATGCGACGTTCTATTGTTGCTGCTTTGTTCTTGTTGTTGCTCGAGCAGATTTGTTACGGCTTGCAGTGTCAAAACAAAGCCGAATATTGCCATTGCTTGTCGCTGTAGCAAGTGCAAGAATTCCCAGTATTACAGGCCAGCATACCCTGACGTGCGTTTCCATTGGACCAGCGGTGGTTGTTTGGCACAGTCAATCAGTTTTCTGCTCGTTTGTTTAGTTTTTGGTTGTAGCAAGTGCAGCATCATGTTTGGTGCGTAGCGTTCGTTAGGTTGATGTAGCAAGTGTTCGTTTTCCTTGACGCAGCTAATTTCGGCAAGGATATCGCTAACTTGCCAACTCATGGACGACTTTATAAACGACGAATATGAGCCTTTTTGGCTTTTCGCATTTGTGTCGCATTATGGGTGCGAGCGTAAAAAGGTTTTTAATTGAAATTAAACGATCTGCACTGTTAATGTGTGTGTTTGTTTGAAAGTGCGTATGTGTGTGTATGCACACATCCCTGCCTGCTACAACCCCCTGCTAATTCATTTGCTAATACTTTAATTTTTACAATATTTGTGGTTTAGGGTTGGTCGTGATTTCGCAACGTATTTGCGGGTTACGCTTAAAAAATAGGGCCCAAAAATCATTAAAGATATTATTAAGTAATATTCGGAACATTCCACCAAGAAGAGGAGGCCAATAAATAAAAATTCATAAAGGCACAAAATATTCATAAAAATTTCATTCATCAATATATATAATTTTATGCTTAAAAAGTAGGGCCCAAAAATCATCAAAGATATTATTAAGTGATATACGGAACGTTTCACCAAGAAGAGAAGGCCAATAAATAAAAATTCATAAAGGCCCAAAATATTCATAAAAATTTGATTCATCAATATATATATTTTTATTATTAAAAAGTAGGGCCCAAAAATCATCAAAGATATTATTAAGTAATATACGGAACGTTCTACCAAGAAGAGGAGGCCAATAAATAAAAATTCATAAAGACGCAAAATATTCTTAAATATTTCATTTATTTATAAAAATATTTTTAAACTATAAAATGTATTAACATTCAAAAAATAGTAAACACAAATATTTATTAATATCTCTATTTTTTAATTAGTGTTTTACGCAGCCATTGTTACATCACCACCATTAAAATATGGGTGCTTCAATATATCTTTCGCCGAAATACGTTGGCTCGGGTCATAAATAAGCATTTTCTTTATTAAATCACAGCCAAGTTCATTCACATTTTTTAACTTTGCAGGTAATGTATATGACGACCACATAGCAAATGAAGCTTTATAATTTGGTAGGGAACTCACTCCAGGCCACATAATTTCAGTTGGAGTTTCCAAAGTTTTGAACATGCGGAAAAGTTGATCAATTTCAGAATCTCCATTAATAAGTGGTTCACCGGTTGCCATTTCCACAAAAATGCAGCCAATTGACCATATATCAACTGCAAAAGTGTAACGAGGAGATCCTAACAAGATTTCTGGAGCTCTGTACCACAAAGTCACAATTTTATTGGTATACGCGCGAACTGGAACACCAACACATCTTCCTGAGCCAAAATCTGCTAACTTTATAGTTCCTTTTTCATCAACTAATAAATTTTGTGGCTTTAAATCGCGATGTACGATACGACGGCAATGACAGTAATAAACTGCATCGGTGATCTGATGTAAATAGCTACGCAACAGTTTATCATTAATATACTTTTTAGGAGCTTTGCAATTCATGTACTGCTTCAAATTCATTAACATATACTCAAATACTAAATATAATTGATCGGCTTCCATTAGGATATCTTCTAAACAAACAATATGTGGATGTTTTAGCTTCTGTAGCAAAGATATTTCCCTTATTGCAGTAGCTGGGACCCCTTCGTCGTTTGCTTTAACTTTGATTTTCTTCATTGCAACCATTTGTCCGGTTAATAAGTTCTTGCCTCTATACACTATTCCATAGGATCCCTCACCAATTTTTTCCAGTTTTTGGTAACTATTCATTTTTACGATTTGCTGTTTGTCTTTAGTAATCGAAAAAAAATTATTTTAAACGCAGTTGTAGCCGCCAAATCAGCAATGTTGCTTTTCTTATTGTATGATAAGTGTTGCATTTGAATGGAATAAGAGAAAATTAGGAATAAAGTAAAAAGAGAGTAAAGCATGATATAGACCAAACAAAATTTTAAAAGATATTCTCTGATATAGACGATGCTACATGTTTGTAAACCAAATATGCCATGTTACCAAATCGCACTGTATAAATTCAAGTATGCCTACCAAATTTTGGTCTTGTATTCTTGGTGTGCATACATGAAATATTGTCTATATCAGAGCTGTCCAGACTAAATGTGATCGAGGGCCAATACAAAATAAAATAGCAGATTGAAAACATGTCGCAGGCCGCAAAAACTTTAGCCGCGAGTCCCACGTGGCTCGTGGACCGTACTTTTGACAGCCCTGGTCTGTATCACGCTTAAGTAGAATTTAGTATATTGATATTTTATATACAAATATTAAAATTTTAAATATAGATTTAAGTAATATTGCGAAAGAAATAAAAGGAATAAGGAAATAAGGAATAAGGATTGATAGCAGTTCTACATTGCGATAAATTGTGAATTTCTGCGATTTGTAGCAGTTTAACCACCATAGTGTAGATAGTCTATTTACCCAATATCAACACTAGACTTTGATAAGTTTTATGCATATAGTCTACAAATATTTATTCGTATCATAGCCGTGTGGCACATTAATATCTCTAACTCTGCGCCTATACTGCCTAGACTTTGGCTAGATTTTTGCAAAAGTCTCCACTCAATTTCACTATTTTCACCTTCGATTTTGCGAATGAATCAATGAATTTCAAACAAAATATTTTGTTTAATCAAACGTTCGCACGAGAGAGACAACACGTCGCGCGAATTGTTCTGAGCAACTGCAGACTCTCACAAATGATTACGTACATTAGATTTGTTCGTACGAACACGCAAGACAAAATTCGTATGAATGAATTTCAAACAAAATATTTTGTTTATGGTAATCAAATGTTCGCACGAGAGAGACAATACGTCGCGCGAATAATGCTCAGCAACTGTAAACTTTCACAAATGATCATGTACATTAGATTTGTTCGCACGAATATGCAAAACAAAATTCGTATGCTATGTAACCGCAGCTTAAGGCTCAGTTGGTCGATATGTACCGTAACAACCGTAAGCAGGAAATGTGCATATTTTTGTGTGGATATATTGACATAATATATACATAATATAAAAAAGTAAAAGTAACATCAGTCACATTCTTTGTGATTGCCTAGCCTGGGTCGAGAACTACTCTCCCTTTCTGACATTAAGAGGTCTTCAACAACTGACATTTTGGCTTTCATTCGAAAGGCGGATTGTCTTGTGTTCGGATAGGGTCTGTAGCAGTATAAAAGATCAACTATAGTTGCGGTGCTCCGCTCCGTTAGACGTTGGTACCCTCTTTATTTCTATTCTATTCTATCTGAAAAACTTACCCATAAGCTTCCATCATATAGTCAATCTAAACAAAAAATTAATTTGCTAGTGTTTTACTAATTCTTATGTTAATTGTTTGTGCCGCTCCTGCATCGACGTTGTGCCACCTTATTGCGGGCACGTTTTTATTACACTTTTAATATGTTACTTCGCTAATGTTTACATTATTTCCGCTTGACATACATTCAGTGTGCAATTTCTACGCATCTCGATCAACAGGACAGCGTTTCCCCTTAACTCTAGTACCTTTCTGTTTAAGGGATTACTTTGAAATGGCCATGGTGCTGCTTGGCGTTGGCCGTGTGGTAAGGTCGTGTGCATACAAGACTGCAAATCCCGAAAAACATGTGTTTCAGGTCACATCGCACGTTTTGCCACTTTAAACAACAACGCGGATTTGTGCTTTTGCTGCGTTGCAAATGTGCGAGGGGTGATGATGAGGCTGTGCCGGCTAATCAACTTGGTGTAGTTATGACGGCATCTTGATTGTTTTGGTGTTTGCTTGTTTTAATATTTTTGTTTAGTGGCGTTATCATTTGAGCATTACATCTGGTTGGGTTTATTTAGGATTTTAATTAAGTGCTTAAGGCCTTTTGAGTTTCAATTGAATGAATTGAATTATTCGTGGCTATTTCATTCAGATATTTAAGGCACTTTAGGAACGTTGCGAATATATTGTGGTTAATGTGTTTAAGATTATTTTTTGTGCAAATTATTTTAAATGTTTTGTTTTTTTTTTATATATTGTAATTTTTTAGAATGGAATGAATGAAATGGATGTTTCATCCAGGACAAATTTGCAATATATATATAAGTATATAAGAGTTTTGACTTTTTGAATACATCTTTTTAAATATTTTTATCTTGTATGTTGCAAACCGAATGCAAGATATGATGGACACAAAACCAGTGGTACCCGAATGTCAGCATTCTGGAATATACGAGTATGTTTTTCAAGAAAATTTTGGAAGCCTGCTACCACAATGCGAGTTTCTTTAAAAAAAACAAAAATTTGTCAGAGAAAGTAAATGACTTAGGTTTGTTTTCGTAAAGGCAATTTGAAAACAGCAAACAAATATACAACAGCTACAACTTAATCCTCATAAGTAGTTAACGAATATTAACTTGAGTGTTTAAATGGTGTATTGTTTTATGACACCGGTATACAAATGGTTTTTTTTAAATCTCACTACTTCTTAATGTATTCACTATAATAAATTTCTACAATTAAATTTGGTATAAATCGCAAAAAATATTAAAATTTTAATGGCTTATTAACAGAATAGATCAGTTCCTGTACTTTTCAAGTAAAAGTTATTTAAATTTAAAAATGAGAATGAAATCGTAAATCACCTATAAGACAAGTTAACAGACAAGTACGGGAACTTTAACTTAAAATTTATTATTATTATTTATTTATAATTTTATTAATCAAATGATTTCATTCTACTGATCGTCTTGTTGTTTGAATAATAATTTTTAAATATTATATATATTTTTTTAATTTCATTCTTATGGCAATGGATATATTGTATTTATATTTCATATTTATTTTATTTGTATAAATAGTTCTTATTATATATTATCGTATATGGTATATTTCATATGTTACTTATTAGACAAATATGGCACTCATTAATTTCATAAAATACTTGTAGAATTTTGGAGAATAAGAACATAATTGCGATATCACTAGAGTTAGTTCAGAGATTCTATGTACTTTTATTTGGTAAGGTAATTATATGATGGCTAGGATTGTCGCTGTATATATAATATATTTTATTGCTTTTCTACTATTTTTTCGCAGTCATTGTTTACATAAATTATTGTTTTTCGTTAGGTCATTATCACAAAAACAATTAACATTTCATTTATTGTATTGTGTAATTTATTTAATTAAATTTAAATAATCTTCACTTTCCGATTTAATTTAATTGGAAACCTATTTACCATACAAATATCGCGTCATGACAAATATCAGCTGTTTTTCGACTCTACTTGAAAAAATGTTTGAATTAAAATTCAAGTAAATCTTGCACATTATAAACTGACAAACCTCTCCAAAAACTTTTTCACCTTTCTTGATTTTGAGTGCAGGAACAAAAAATAGTAAAATTTAAGTAACTTTTTACTTATATTGTTATACTGTTATCATTACTCCAGTGATATTTTTTCTTCATTATTTAGCTTTAAAAACGATGGTTAATAATCACCAGGGGAACATCGCTGATTAATATGCTACAATCAACGTTATATGTAGTCTTCTTTTATAACAGTTCTATGGGTCAACAACAGTATATGGATTTTGATGGGATATAAATTTTAACAAAAATTATTACCATTTTTGCTTAGTTGCTTATGGACATTGCTTATGACTGATTGATCGTTGGACAGAAGATTTCATCTTCTCTGGACCCTTCGCATATTAATGACAAAATTTTGAATAGGCATAGGCACACACAGTAGGCAAGGGCATTATAAAAACAAATGTGTTAAAAGTGTGCATAGACAAAGCAGTAGTAACAAGAATTATATATAAATAGTTTTTCAGAGTTTTTCAGGTGAAATTATAGAACTGTATTTTGAAGTCCAGCATATCTTCTTGATGGAAAATAGATTTATCTTGTTTGTATAAAAGTTTGTTTGTATAAAAGTTTGTATAAGCACTTACAGAATTAATTAATATCACGGCTCAGTATTTGATATATTTGCATCCTGATAAATAAATGATGGATGATACAGCATTGCCATAAGTCACATAATCATAAAGTAATTAAGATCTAATTATTTCTTTATAAAATAAATATTCTTTTCTACATGTTATATTGCTTAGAGAACTTTCAAAGTTCTCTTAAAACTTAGACCTAAGTATTTCACATTGCTTGTTTATTCCATATCCACATTATTAAATTCCTATAGCCAAGTGTATTCTCTGTCAAAAGTCAGGCCTAAATATTTCACATTGTTTGCCCATTCTCTTACCCCACATTAGTGAATATTTCTTCTTTTTTATACAAAAAAAAAATAATCAAAATTTTGTTATACCTTAGTAAATTGTTTGTGGATAATATGTAAATTTTTTAATAATATTTTCTCTTTATATAAATATATAATATCAACAATTTCGTTGTAGTTCCACTGTTGAGCTAAACTTTAACTTCTGCAGAGAGCCATAAAAATGTTTTTGAATAATTGATCAGCGATAATATTGAATATTTGTATTTTTTTTGGAGGAAAAATCATATGCATTATATGATTATATGATTATTTGATTAACATAAAATGTTTTTGATGTATATACGTAGATACAATCTTGCAGTGATACTCGTATCGCGAAAAATTATCAAATGTAAATCCGAACGTTAATCGTTTTACGCCGCATGAAATACGAGAGTTTAATATTTAATTTAGTCGATTGTAATCGCTTAATAGAACTGCAAGTACAAAGTTAATGCAGAGAATGCTGTTGAACGGCCCACCCCTGAGGTCCTGCT